GGGGGGGGGGGGGGATTAGGGGATTAGGGGAGGAAGAGGGAAATATTAAAAAAAAGGGGAGGGGAAGGAAGGAAAAAAACCTCATGGGTTAAGATGAAGACAGTTTTATAGAAGCAATAAAAGAAAAGAAAAAATAACAATAATAATGAGATGGGTGACTCTCACTGGTGAATTGGCATTGTCCCAAGCAGTGATTGCAGATTCCCTTCCCCCAGCTGACCCCCATTTGTGTACTGAGCATTGCACCTATGGTATGGAATATTCCTTTGGCCATTCCATCATTCTGTCTGTGCTTCTATGGGAAGCTGGAAAAAAGTTCTTGAAGAGTGTAAACATCAAGTAGCAACAACCAAAACCAGTAGGGATTATTGATATTCCTTTTGAACCAATCAATAGAAAGAAACATAAGACTGTTTCCCAGCTGAAAGCAGGACAATTGGTATATATGCTAATGTATTACAGTACCTCTAAATAGCAGAGGGGATTTCAAAACCATTTCAAAACTGCAGCTCACAGTGCAGCCTTATACTGGGGTCATGGATGACGGGGAGTTAGCAACGTCATTCAAAAAGCAGAAAGGGTCTCAACAGGTTACCTGGCTGCATCTGATGATTAGTTGAAGAGGGTGAAGGCTAACGCCTGCTCCAAAGGTTGGGAGTGAGTGCGGAGTTTGTGTGTTCAAACGGAGTGAAAGAGGTATGCAGAAACATGGGCTGGGCAAGTCACAGCAGTAGGAATAAGCCAACGAAGTGGGCATCAGCCCACCAACAGCTTGGCCTGAGACACAGGGTGTGTGCTGGGGGAATTGTGCTGTCAGACAGCCTGCCCCTTTGCAGACTGGGGTCAGCAGGGAGAAGGGGATGGCGTAGTTGTGATAGGGAAAACAAAATAAAACAAGCTTAAATTGTGGGTAAGGAGCTGGCTGGATGGCCGCATCCAAAGGGTTGTGGTCAATGGCTCAATGTCCAATTGGTGGCCAGTGACGAATGGTGTTCCTCAGGGGCCCGTACTGGGACCAGTGCTGTTCAACATCTTTGTTGGAGACATGGACAGTGGGATTGAGTGCACCCTCAGCAAGTTTGCCGATGACACCAAACTCGGTGGTGTGGTCGACATGCTGGAGGGAAGGGATGCCATCCAGAGGGACCTGGACAGGCTGGAGAGGTGGGCTCGTGCAAATCACCAAGCCAAGTGCAGGGGCCTGCACCTGGGACATGACAACCCCAGGCACAAAGACAGGTCGGGCGAAGAATGGCTGGAAAGCAGCCCTGAGGAGAAGGACTTGGGGGTGTTGGTGGATGAGAAGCTTAACAAGAGCCAGCAGTGCGTGCTGGCAGCCTAGAGAGCCAACCGTGTCCTGGGCTGCATCAAGAGAAGCGTGGCCAGCAGGTCACAGGAGGTGACTCTGCCCCTCTGCTCTGCACTCCTAAGACCCCACCTGGAGTACTGTGTCCAGCTTTGGAGTCCTCAACACAGGAAGGACATGGATCTGCTGGAGCGGGTCCAGCAGAGGGCCATGAAGATGATCAGAGGGATGGAGCACCTCTCCTATGAGGACAGGCTGAGAGAGCTGGGGTTGTTCAGCCTGGAGACGAGAAGGCTCCAGGAAGACCTTATAGTGGCCTTCCAGTACCTGAAGGAAGCCTACAGGAGAGCAGGAGAGGGCCTCATTGTCAGGAAATGTAGTGACAGGACAAGGGGTAATGGTTTTAAACTGGAAGAGGGGAGATTTATGTTAGATACTGGAAAGAAATTCTTTACAGTGAGGGTGGTGAGGCACTGGAACAGGTTGCCCAGGGAGGTCGTGGGTGCCCCATCCCTGGAGGTGTTCAAGGCCAGGCTGGACGGGGCTTTGGGCAACCTGGTCTAGTGGGAGGTGTCCCTGCCCACGGCAGGGGGGTTGGAACTAGATGATCTTTAAGGTCCCTTCCAACCCAAACCATTCTATGATTCTATGATAATTCCAATGGCTGATTGTTCTCATTGTGAAAAATTTTCCTCTTGTGTCCAGTGGGAACCTCCCCAGGAGTAACTTGTAACCATTACCCTGTATCTTTTCCCTGTGACTTCATGTAAAAATGAAGTCTCTGTTTTCTTTGTAGCCATCCTTCAAATACTGGAACCCGGTGATGAGGTCTTGCCTAAGCTTTCTTTTTTCCAAGGCTGAACGAAGCCAGTTCTCTCAGCCTTTCCTCATAAGGCAGGTTTCTTAGTGCTTTGATCATCTTTGTGGCACTTCTCTGTACCCTTTCCAGCCTGTCCACATCTTTTTTGTGTAGCGGGGACCAAAGCTGAACACAGTATTCCAGGTGTGGCACTGAGTAGAGAGGGGTAATGACTTTATCTCTGCTGGTGATGCCCTTGTTGATGCAACCCAGCAACCTGTTGGCTTTCTTTGCTGTAGCAGCACACAGTTCACTCATAGTGGGCTGCTTGTCCACTGGTCCCCTTCCACAGAGCTGCTTCCCAGCAAGGTAGATCCCTGTCTCCTGCACTCCTGGATTGTGTTTTCCCAGGTGCAAGACCTTACACTTGTCCTTGTTGAACTTCATAAGGTTATTGTTAACCCACTCTTCCAGCCTACTCAGGTCTTCCCGCAGAGTGGCTCTCCCTTCCAAGGTGTCCACTTCCCCTCTCAGTTTGATGTCATCAGCAAACTTGGACAGGTTACACTTTTTCCCACCATCCAGATCACTTATGAAGATGTTAAACAGCGCTGGGCCCAGTATCAGTCCCTGGGGCACCCCAGTTGTGACAGGTGGCCAGTTTGAAGTGGAGCTGTTCACCACCTCACTCTTGGTTCTGCAGGAGGTGAACATCCTGCAGAGAGAAGGATCTTGAAAGTGGGGAGAAGTCCTGGAGATGTTAGAGATCTATGGAGACAAACTCCGGGGGAGCCTGGGGACCTTGGCTGGTAGTGCTTGGGGCTGGTGGAGCGGGGAGCCAGCACAACCTTCCCAGACCAGCGTTTCTCTCCTTGATGGGAAAGGCTGATGGGCCTCAGCTCAGATATCACTGGTTTTAAAATGAAGCTCTGTATCCAGATCTACAGCTTGTCTTGCCTGTGACACTAGTGCAGGACAGACACATTTATTGTTTATTATGGACCTCTTCTGAATTTGGGGGCAAGACCTCTGGATGACATCTGTATTGATTAAGGTATTAGAAAGCAATATCTGTTCTTGGAGAGCGTCTGCGCCTGGAGAGCGACAGGAAGGACTGTCGGTCCTCAGTAAGAGGCACATTACCAGGGACTTCGGATTTCCATTTACCAACTTCCCAGTCCCTCTCTTAATTGCAACGCTCCTTCTAAGTTCTCGTTGCTTTTATTCCTTTTTATGTTGCTGATGGCTGCCGTTTTCTCCTCAGTCGCTAATTGTAATGCATTTGTTAGCATTGAAAGGAAGGGGTCATGGCTTCAGCTGTTCCTCTCGCAGCGCCGGTGCCCTAAATAATGCACGGGGCACATAGGGGCCGTTGCCTAATGCGCTCCTTCCGCTGTGCGCGTTTATGCAATTTAGAGACTTTGTCAAATGGAGTCATTTGCATCCCAACCCCGCCACGGACATCACCATTCAGCCGGATGCTTACCGGCTCTGTGCAGGCACCGTGAGCCTTGTGCCGGTGCCTCCTGCAACTGGGCATCCCCGACTTCCCTCGTCCCCGTCCCCGTCCCCCCCGGGGATGGCCCGGCGGGGGCGGCTGGGAACCGGCTCCCCCCGCCCCTTTCGGGGATGCTCCCTCCCCCGGGCAGCATCCTTTCCCGGGGCTCGGCGCCGGTGCGGAGGCAGCGAGAGGCTGGGGGGACGGACAGACGGAGTCCGACACCGCTCCCCCCGAGTCCTGGCGCCGGGGGCGGGGGTTTCTGGCCTTCAGAGTTACGGGAAAAAGCGTTACTCGTGCGGAGGCTGGTAACTTCCTATTTTGTTACATCCCGGGGCAGTGGCGGGGAGGCGGAGGTCCCTGGTAAGACAGACTCCCGTCCCGGAGCTTCGGTAAGTGAAAAGCTCTGTTTTAGCAGAGGTCCCTCAGCTCGTTTTTTGTTAATATGGAGCGTGGGAGAGTGTGAAGTTCTTCCCTGGAGTGTTACTTGAGTGGATCTTCACCAGCAGTGATGTGTGCTTGCCTTCACGTCTCTCCAGACGTTCATCCTGGACTTGAGGCAGCACATACTTCTGTGTCTCTTCGGGCCAAGCAACTCCTTTCAGTTTCTTTCTTCCAAGTCTATGAGACCATAAGAATTGGAGCTGCCTATTTAGCCAATTGCATTTGTCTCTTTTCGGGAAGAATATGATACAGATGCTTGGCAGTGTCTTTTCTTTGTATATGCAATGGTAAGAGTTAGCTCTCAAAATGTTTGCAATATATTTTTTGGGTTTTGTTTTATGTTTTTTGTTTACAAGTTCCTAAAGGGTGGGTTGAAGGATGATGGAGCCAGACTCTTTTCAGTGGTTTCCAGTGACGGGACAAGGGGCAATGGGCACAAGCTGGAACAGAGAAAGTTCCATTCAAATATGGGGAAGAACTTCTTTACAGCGAGGGTGACGGAGCACTGGAACAGGCTGCCCAGGGAGGTCGTGGAGTCCCCTTCTCTGGAGATCTTCAAGACCTGCCTGGATGCAGCCTGAGTGATGTGCTCTAGGCAGCCCTGCTTTAGCAGGGGAGTTGGACTAGATGATTTCTAGACCTTCCAACTCTGACAATTCCATGATTCTGTGATAAGCAGTCAATGGAGGCAGTAAAAGCTCTTTCCTTGCTGCTGACTGCTTGAATTGTTTGGATTCACTCGAATTTTCTCGAAGTGGCCTATCAGATTTAAATACATTGGCCCCATGCTGCTTCTGTGCTTGCACAGTTCCTGGGAAAAAATGATTCTGTATGGTGTTTGTGTACACATCCGTCATGTGTCTCACTCACGCTTAAATTGGGGAAGCCACGCTGAACTTCCCAATTGTAACGGACTATGTGACTGTTCTCTTTTGATGATGGTTGTCTAAAATAGTTGAAATGCAACTGTTAGCCTCCTTCTGTGAATTAAGGCACTGAGCAAGAGAATGCTTTCATGCTTGAAGAAAGCCTCATGTATTGGGTGAAAGAACAGAACGGTCAGTTCAGATTTTTCTGTCAGATAGAGGCTTATCAGTAACAACAGGTCTAAAAAGACATAAAAACAGGGGTGGGGGAAAGCTTTGGCTTTATATCATAGAGGTTGCAGTATTGAACTTAAATATCTTGATTTTTCTATGGCAATCACGTCGGTCTGGTAATTTTTTGTATTATTTGGTGCTTGTAGGAACATTTTTAATTAAAAAATGCTATACTGGGAGATCTCAAAATGTAGTTGATTTTAGTAGGTTCCATGGAGTGTGATTTGACACTATTACCATGCCGTGTTTCAGCTAGCAGGTTTGAATGAGATACAAAAATATTTTTTGGTAAAGTTCACAGTATGGGTAGTAAGCAAGAGAAAAACAGGATATATAACCTTTACAAGAAAATCTGAATCAGCAGGGTGATGTGGCAATTGTCTTATGCAGGTCAACACCATGATAAATATTTCAGCATCAAAGAATGCAGGGGATGCTCAACAGGACGAAAAAGTCTTGGAAAGTAGTAATGTAAAGAACATTTCAGACGACTGTGTCCTCTGTTGGGGAAAAAAAGAAAGGGCTAATGTTTTCCTTAGATGTACAGTAACACGAATAGCACGTAAGTGTCTGGTAGTGACCTTTCCTTCCTCTAAGAAGGCACGTGAGGTGTTTAGCATCCAGCAGTGAAAGGTGGTAAGGAACAGGTGAAGGTTCCCTATACATTCACTGCATTAGTGCACTGGAGATTCCTGTAGCTCACTCCTGTAAATCTAGCTCTGACTATTCAGAACTTCTGCGTGCACTTCAGGAAGGGTGTGAAATACTGGAGAACTTTCGGAAGAGAATATAAAAATGTAAATAGAATATATTAGAATATGAAAAAGGAAAAAAACCAAAGGAAAATAATATGAAAAAGGAAATGGAAAACAAACCTTTTAAAGAGGACTTAAGGCATACTCTTTACCTTTATTTAAGGTTGAGGTGAATATGTGGAAGGATATTTGATAATGGAAGTGTAAGCAAGCTTCTTAATCACTGTGAAAAAGATATGAGATGAAATGATGTGTAGGTATTGTCTATATTCCAAATTGACTCCTGGAGACAGGAATAAGTGATGCAATAGTGGTATAAGCACAAAACTCACTATTAGCTCAGTCTGTAATCACTCTGAGTTTGTAATGTCTTCTAGAATATATGATTAAATACCGTTTTCAGACTAGTATATTATGTTTACAGGTAAGCTGCAGGGTCATGGTCATCTTTTCTGGGTGATAAGAAAATGTGGAAGTGAGGATTTGTGCTCATTTTGTTCTCTTTCCTTGTTGTGACTGTGGGAGCACAGGATTGCCCACATTGTTCTCTGCGTTCTTCCAGCAACTGCAGCACTGCAATAGGACAGGGAATATAATTATATCCTACATTTGGGGGCTGCAGCTGATTCCCTGAACAGTGCAGGAAAGACTTTATTTGCTTTCTTGTAAAACACAGTTTGCTAACATTAAGTGGACATGTGTTTTACTCTGGAACAGCTGGAACTGGTCTCAGTTTAAGAGGCATCGCTGGACGAGCTCTGAAGTAATACAGAAAATCTTTCTGATTTTCTGACGGGTGTGTATTCTGTACAAACTTCAGGTTAAAACCACCCAAATCTGGCAATCGTGAGAGATTTGGGTCTGGCCGCCTTCTCCCAGTAAGAGTTCTGCATTTCTTTAAAGCTCAACACCTGGATCCTCCTGCTCTGACCACCGATTTTTCTCACCTAGTTGCTTTCTCTGTCTGAGGCATCTTGTTCTTCACCTTTGTTTGGGTGACTGTGCTCAAGGAAGGGGCACAAAGGCAACCATCTTATCTAATGATTTCTTACTGAGAACGTCTGACACAAAATTATCTCTCAAAGTTGGCTCTTGTAGCCAAAATAGGCCTCAACCACTGAGCCTAAGAAGAAGGCTCCAAGACCAGACCTGTACATGAAGCTTGTTTAAGCCCTAGCCTGACTGTTTTTAATTTCTTATTGAAAAAAGAACAAGGAATGACAGTACTGCCATGAGAGCCGCAGTTCTCTCTGGTAGTTATCGCCAACATTCAGTTGGAGTGTTACTGATGGCCTGGCCTTTCTTTTAGTAAGCATTATCAAATCAGATGTAATAGAATCATAGAATTGTCTAGGTTGGAAGGGACCTTTAAGATCATCTGGTCCAACCATAAGCCTAACTCTGACAAAACCAGAAAAACATGTCACTAAACCACGCCACTAAATCATGTAGTAATCATGTAGTTAAAATGGAAAAAGGGTCCAATATGTAAAAGTAAAGAAATTAAGTCTTTTTTTTGTGTTTGTAGTTTTAAGCTTTTCCCCTAAAACTTAAGTTTTTATTATGAGGTATAATGTATTAATTAGCAAACAGCTATTTGTTTTGCAGCTTTTTTATCTAGCTGAGCATTTTATACCTTGAGATACATTTAGAGGCTTATTTGCTATGCTTGTTCAGAGAATAATAAATTATATTCTATTTACTAGATATGGATAAATTATTTTTCTGTATTAGTATCAAGCTGCATTTAGGTAAAAATTGGAATTTAAATACAATGTACAGCATTTTGTACACAATGTACAGTACTACTATTCAATATGCTGTTATTGTTCTATAACAAAAGAAAGGGTCCATCAAAACATGTTTTGCATGTGTAACTCTAGGGTATACTAAACAAAATAACTGTTATCAGCAGCTGTTAACTGAGCTGACCTTTCCTGGTCACTATGTTCTTCAGGATTTTAGAACAAAAGTATCTTGTCCTCTTGTGCCCATTTTTTTATTATTTAGAAACTGAAAGAGGAAAATGGCTTTCTTGCTTTTTAGATTACCGGTTGATTTGCAGCTTTTAAATTAACAAGTCATTGAACTTGATGAATACAGCCTTTGTTTCTTTGGTTTTGTTTTTGTTTCCTTTTTTCACACTATGGCATTTTTAGAACAAGTTTCTGCAGTCTGAAGTTGGCGCGGCATTTCAAGGGGCTCTGCTCCACACTGCGCTTTCAGGTGTGCCCAAAAGCTTAGTGCTTTCCCTTCTGTCAGTAAACATGTATTTACACTTATTTAAGTGTTTTTAGTAAATTATGATACCATTATATTTTATGGTGTCATAATTACAAATATAATAGATCTATTTTTCAAAAGAAAATGTGCCTAAGTCCTGTTTAAATCAAGTTCTATTGAAATGATAGAATTTTAAATTTTATTCATCATGGTCTGATGTTCAGCTGACTATTTTTAGCTCAGTTAAGGACTGTGGGTTATGAAACCAGTGTCCTCCGTATCCTTCATTCCAGTGTCTGTCATTTTTCTCATGGATGAGCTTGTCAGTGCATGATTTGTAGGGATTAGAGTGTTGGGAAAATCCATTAGCTGTCCCTCACATTTACTGCTTCCTCCAATATTTTTACATGTCATTCTCTTCTCTGATCTATGTAGAGAAACCTACATTTTCCTCTTCTGACGCTCACTGGTACTTACCCTCAATGGAATCCTGACCAATCCTGGAAGCTGATGCTTCTACACCCTGTTGTCTGGGAAGGAGACTGAAGTTCATATTTGGATTATTTGGCTGAAATGCCCTCTTTCCCTCCAGGGTTTGTGTAAACACACATGGGCTTGAATCTTCGAGCTCTGAAAACTGAGGGTTGTGGCTTTTCCAATTGCATCATAACATCACAGGCGGGTGGCCAACCGTGGACTTGGGCTCCTGGCATTCAGTATTGACTGATCTTGTGTAGGACAAGGTCTTTCTCTCCATATGGTAGCTGGCATGGCAGAGCTGTAGTGATTGCTACTAAACACTAAAATACAGCAATAGCTATTCATCTTCTTTCCTCTTTCACAGTTGTTAGAAGGGTGTCAGGCTTAGTAGGAAAGGATGCCCTGTCAGGCTCTAGCACAGATGTTGAGGTTGGGGTCAGTCTCTTCTCCCAAGTGGCAAGGGATAGGACAAGAGGAAATGGCCTCAAGTTGTGCCAGGGGAGGTTTAGGGTAGATATTAGGAAAAATTTTTTCACTGAAAGGGTTGTCAAGCATTGGAACAGGCTGTCCAGGGAGGTGGTGGAGAAACCACCCCTGGAGGTATTTAAAAGATGGGTAGATGTGGTGCTGAGGGACATGGTTTCGTGGTGGACTTGGCAGTGTTAGGTTAACAGTTGGACTCAATGATCTCAAAGGTCCCTTCCAACCAGGATAATTCTGTGATGCTAT